AAGGTAAAAAGGAACTACTCACAAAGCATAAAGAAAACAATAAAATTCATCCTCATAAACAAAGAAAATCTACTAGAATTACGTTTACAAATAGTAAAAGATAAAATAGAACACAATACTTAGTTTTTCCTCTACAAAAGTGATGAAACTCCTTGATAAAGGATCTCTAAATACCTCTTGCAATGTTGAGTTCTTCCCTTACAATCACACACAAGTTCTTCACCAACTCCCAACACAAATTAAAAAAGACTAGCCTACCACAACAAAATTCTTACCTTAGCCTTCACAAGAACTTCTCCCCAACATTTTGACGAGTTATTCCATGGAACCACCTATATGCACCAAATAACTCCCCGGATCGTGTGGAGAAAACTGCAGAAACTGCCCCAGGCAATTCTGGCGCCAAGCTCTCTGTCTGGTCAGCTGAGTTCTGGCCCCTAAGCACCTAAATAGCTGGCGCCAAAGCACTTGGGTGGAGCACCTTGGCGCCTAATGAATAGTGCCTAGGTGTTAATCTGCTGAATCTCCCAATTAAAAAAATATTATTAACTGAATATGATAGATATAATGTATTAATTAATTAATTTAGTTAATTGATAATTAAGTATCAAAAAAATAAATAAATATATAATTAATAATTAAATTTAAAATATCTTTGATATTAATTATAACATATATTATCAATATATAACTAAATAAATTATAAATAATCAATTTTTATTTAAATAATGTATCATATATAATATAAATTATTATTAAATTTAACATCGAGCATTAAATAAGTTACTTATTAAATATAAAAAAATAATTTAAATCACATTTGAAATAAAAAATTTAACATTTGACTTTAAAAAAAAAACATTCCCAAAAAATTTAATATTTGAGTTAAAAAAAAAAACATTAAGACTTGTATATTTACTAATTTGAACAAATTTGATCAAATATTAACCAAGTTAAAATCTGAGTTATTTACTTATTCATTTACAACACTGGCAACAACATTCTTTTTGCATATCATTATCATTATAATTATTATCATTATTATTATTATATCCTAAAATACTCATGCATTCCAAAAGAAAAGGCTCAAAGAAAATATCAGCTGCATCATATCATACACCTGCCATGCATAGAATTTCTCATAAACTTTAAGCTCAACACAACTTAAGCAGCAATGTAGAGAAAGAAGAAAGGTTATTCTGCAACTTACACCCCTTTCTTCATGAATTTACAGTCTCCCCCCATTAGTTAAATTGACAAAAGAGAAGAAATACTAAGAAAAACCAGAAATCAGTACTTATCCAGTGTTTTCGGCCTCACACACCCACAAAAATAGCCTCTTTTATTTCCCTGCTTATCCTTTCTGCCATAAAGGTAGTCCCTTAGTAACACTCTAGGTGTTCGATCGCCGGCTGGATAGCTCTCCCACTCTTCTTGGAGCTTAAGAAAGATGTAATCAATCTTCTGCAACTCGAGCTCCAGCATCCCAATCCTCTCAGAGGCACTCCGAGCCTGTTCTGATACTCGGCTTCTCTCGGCACGTCTCATTTCTTCACCATTGTAGGAATCTGAATATGCTTCAGCCATCATCATTAGCTTGCCATTTGCATCATTCAAATCGAATATGGCTCCTTCAGCATCTCTCAACTTCATCTTAAGCGCATCAAATTGCAGTCTATTTTGTCGTGTGTTAGGGATGGATTTCTCCATCTTCAACTTCAGGTTGCGAGCGCTGGTACGAAGAAGAGAGAGCTTTTCGGCATCAAAAGCGAGTCTTTTGATGATTCTCCTGCTCCAGTCTTGTTGGGATTCTTTGATCTCTCTTGATATATCCATTTTATAAACACCAAAATCTTTATCGGTCGGAAGCTCTGATGAAGGTTTGTCACTCTTGGCCTCCTCGACCACCTCAATGCCATGATCGACAGAAACACGGCTACTCTGATTGGAATCCGTAGCAGCTGCTTCCCATAAATTGAGCATTTGATCGTTGGATTCTGCGCCTTGGATTTTACTTGCACCGCAGGAGCTCGAAACCTGGTCAAGTTCGATGTCTTTCACCATATTGGATGTTTCTCTTCCTTGATTTTCTTCCCTGATAGAGCTCTGCTTCTGCTTCAACTCTACAAGTTCTCTCCTTGCAGATTCTAAGTTGGAAGCAGATTGGAGTCTTTCCTGATGAAGCTGAGTCTTGCTGCCTTGCACTAATTTCTGAAGTGCTTCAACTTTGGCAATCAAATTCTGCATCTCCGTTACTCCTAGCATGGATGAAAGGCCATGATCTCCAGAGCTTGCTTCGTGATTCTCCTGATCACATAATGATGAATTCTCCTGAAGAAAATAATGGAATTCAAATTATATAAAACGAATACCTGTTAAGAATCATACAAACAACTAGTAGAAGTTGAAGCAAGAAGAAGAATGTTCCATGGCTTCATATGAATTAGATTAGAAAAATTTACCTGAAGATGACAGTAAACAAGGCAAGTATTCCAGCATTGGTAAAAAGAAGATAAATGAGATCAAAGTTAAGATTACAACAACACAACAACAACAAAGCCTTAATCCCGTTACAAGATCAAAGTTAAGATTGAATGAAAAAAATTGGGCCCGACTAAGGATAAAGTACAAGATAAATAATTCACTATGCTAATGATTCTAATGACAATTCATTCAGTGATGAGACTAACAGGGACTCTAAATGTAAAAATTTAAATATTGATGACTTATTATATGCTTGCTTAATAGAGGGGTAGTATGAGTATGAAAGCAAGACTTTTCTATTGAAATTATTTTAATTCTTATATTTTGACATTTTAATATATATTTTGATATCATAACTTACTTTGATGGTTTAATATTTGTCTAACACAACTTATTTTATTATCGGATATTAGGATATTAACATGTAAGTTCTTACATTGCACAATTTACTTTTTTTTTTTACTTCATTAGAATGTTATTATACTACTTTTTATTATGTTAACATGTTATTTCTTACTTCATACTTTATTTTTCCACACAAAATTTAAATTTGAGGCTTGTACTTCAAAAAGCTTGAGACTTATGCCTCGTCTCACACAAGAAAAATGTTTCAATACACAATTACGTAATTTTAAACCTTGGGTAGAAACTTGCACTCTGATTAAGGGAGGAAAAGAAATGATGAAAGTGAATAAAATATTTTTTTTTCCTTCTTGATTAGGAGTTTAAAAAAAAAAGTGCTGAAGTGTGCATATTATTAATTAATACTTGTAAGTTGAATCAGCATGTTATTCAATATCCAGTAATCTTACTAAATACTCAAAATAATATTTAGCTTGATTAAGTCTTAATAACTCCATAATTAGCTTAAAGTAATACAATAATAATGAATTAACTTTTTACTATTTCCAAATAAATTATTTGCATAGAATTAAGTTATTTAACACTAATTAATCCATACAAAAGAAGTTGTATAAGTTAGATTTGAAAGGTAGCAAACTTCTTTAAGTAGAGGAAGGGTTGTTTGGGTATTAATTATCTTAATCAGATTGTTAATTAATAAAATCAACTATAAAACCCCTATCTACTCAGTTTTTCTCGTTTATTTTCTTTCTTTTTTGGGGAAGATAGTGGTTCTAAATGACTCCACAAGGACTAGCAATAATGAAAATTTTATAAAGTTCACCTGATCTCCATCATCTTCAAGTTTTTCTAGCTGACATAAATGCTTCTCCACATTCGAAATGCCATTTCCCAAAGAAGTAAAGAGAGGGTAAAGCACTTTCAGGTTGTTTCTAAGCTTTCCATTCTCATTTTCAAAATCCTCAAGCTTCTTCTTCAACTCAACTGCGTGTAATTTTTTTAAGACAATCTCCTCCTTTAGAGTCTCTCTCAGCACCATTGCAGAAATGTCGAGACCCTCACATTGAGATGCCAAGTCGAACATTTTCTCATCAAGAATTGTTGCATGGATTTCAGAAGCTTGAACCTCGCTGAATAATTCCATGATTTCTTCCTCACACCAAGCAACCTTTTCTTTTTCTTCTTCCAGCTCGGAAGACAGAATTTGTTCCCTCATTTTAATGGCTTCGACTTCAGCTTTAAATCTATTTAACTCCTCCTTAAGTGTTTCATTTTCTCCATTAACAGTAGCAATCTGGTTGTCTTTAAAGGCAGCACCTTCCAATAAAACTGTAATTCTGTTCTCTAACTCAGATCTCATGGCTTTGGCCTCATCTACTTCTTTGTTAGAGGTTTCAAGTTTTCTGCATATTTCAGTAGCTTCCACTAGTTTGGATTGAAGCAAGCCCTTTACTTCTGAAAGCTCCATGCTTTTCTGCTTCAACAAATTCTCTTTAGCTTCAACTTCAAGGATTAGTTCTTCACAGAAACCATGTGCATATTGCAAATCAAATTCTGAGATTGTAATTCGATTTCTCAGCTCTTCCAAAACGAGAAGAGATTCCTTGAATTGCTGGTTTTCATTTTCCACAGCTTTGGCTCTCACTTCACTCGCTCTAATCTCATCAACAAGACCATTCTTAGCAGCATGAAGTGAGCACATGTCATCACTGAGCAGCTTTAACTGTTGCATGTTTTCTGCATTTAGATTCTTAAAGAACAGATAAAGGTTCTCCAGTGTCATGGCGTCAATAAACATTAAACTGTTTTCCTCTTCCAAAGCATTCTTCTCTTTCATCAAATTACAAAATTTCTCCGACAAATCCATTAATTTTGTAGTGAAAGACTCTAATTCAGCTTTTAATGTTATGTTTGTGAAGTCCGTGGCGCTTGCATCGCGACAAAGTTGCTCATATTCCTCGAATAGCTGATGATGCTCCTTCTGTAAAATAAGTAATTGCTTGTTTGTTGCATTTAACTGTTGCATGTTTTCTGCATTTAGATTCTTAAAGAACAAGTAAAGGTTCTCCATTGTCATGGCGTCCACAAACATTAAACTGTTTTCCTCTTCCAAAGCATTCTTCTCTTTCATCAAATTACAAATTTTCTCCGACGAATCCTTTAATTTTGTAGTGAAAGACTCTAGTTCAGCTTTTAACATTATGTTTGTGAAGTCTGCCGCACTCGCATCACGACAAAGTTGCTCATATTCCTTGAAGAGCTGGCGGTGCTCCCTCTGTAAAATAAATGATTGCTTCTCTGTATTTTCAAGTTCCCTACATATAAAAACTTTTTCCATTCCACTTTGCTTCAGAAGGTTGAGGTAAACCAATAACTCCATACCGAGAATTTGGTTTTCATCATTGATACCAGAAATAGAAGCGTGTAGATTCTTAATCTCTCCCAGAATAGTTGGAAGAATGGCAACTTCACTTCCCTCTATATTCATCAACTTCTCGTTGATATTAAGCGGTTCTAGCAAACGTTGGATACCTTCCCTGACCTTCAAAATATGCTCCCTTAATAGAGCAATGTTTTCCTTCTGAACTAATTCTCTGTCTTCTAGCTGTTTGATTAGTTCATCAGCACTTCTAGAGGCCTGTAAATGCTTCTGACACTCCTGTGTTAGAGCAAAGTTCTCACCTTTCATTTCAGACAAGCATCTCTGCAAGATGAAGATCTCGAGCATGGACTCCATAGATTTCAGCTCTACTTCCTCAATTTTATCATCTTTGATCTTTCTTTCTTCTTGCAGAAGATGGATTTGGCTTTCTAAAGCAGCGAGTTGAATCTTGCTTGAGCTGATAAGCGACTCGTACTTTTGCTTTTCGATCATCAAGGAATTTGAAATGTCGTGAAGATGTCTCTGTAAGACGAAAATCTCAGTCGTATGAGAAAAGGATCTCTGTTGTTCAGCCTCCAACTCTTTCTCCCTGATCTGTCTATCTTCTTGCAGGAGAAGAAGCTGGTTTTGTAAGGAGGCCAGGCTCATACTCTTCGAGTGGATAAGTGAGGCATGCTCGTTTTGCATAACCTTCAACGAGTTTTCAAGATTCAAAATTTGTTTAACGGACAGTTCTTTTTCCTTCACTAGATTCAAGTGCTTGTCTTCCAGTGTAGAATGTGTAGTCTCCAAATTAGTAAGACTCTGTTGAATGCTCTCCACCTGAAATTCAAAAACTATAGAAATGAGAAATGCAGAAAAATGATTAAAATGACGAAGTAAAACTAATAAAAGGCAGAAGAAACGTATGCTTTAAGAGAAATACTACTAATTAATCATAGATATCAAACTTGTAATTCATAAAGTTCAAACCTGTGAGATTAGATTATTCTTTTGGGCAATAAGATCTGAATTTGCAAGTGAGAGAGATTGAAATGACTCTTCCAAGCCTCTCAATTTTGAGCGCAACCCTTCAAGTTCAGTATTTGCATCATCTAGAGAGTTCTCCAACAACTTATTTTTGTTTGAAAGCTTCTCCACATTCTCCGCAAGTGTCTCTATCTGAACCGCCAGAGCGCCCTTTTCAGCAACATGAGTGGAAACTGCAGCATTTAGTGACTCACAGGAACCTTCTAAAACTACTATTTTCTCTCTCAACTCTTCAAGCTCCACATTTGCATCAGATAAAGAGTTCTCCAAAACTGAATTCTTCTCAGAAACCGATTCCATATCCTTCAATTTGTTGAGAAATAGAAGCTTTTCTTCTTCAAGCTTAGTGCAGCTCTCTTTCAGTTCAGAATGACCATATTGCAGATCCTTCACCTGTGCCTCAAGTGATTCTATATGAAGGCTGGTTGCTTCCATTTCTTTTGTTAGACCTTGATGATTCAGATCTATCTCATTTTTTTCATGCTTCAGAGATTCAAACTCTTGCTGAAGAACTCTATTAGTTTCTGCCTGGTTTTCTATTTCACTTTCTAGTTTACAATTTCTTTCCTTCAAGGAAATTATCTCATCTTCCAAGTGTTTCATCTTCAAAGCACATGCCAAATTGTGTTCATTTAGAGTAAAGTTTTGATCTTTCAGTTGGGAAACTTCTTCTTCTAAAGCCCCTTTACTACGTCCAGCTTCCTTCAGTTTCTCAAATAGACTCTGAATTTCCAATGTCATGGACATAACCTTTTCGTTAGACTCATTATATAGTTGTTCCTTTGATTGGAGAGACATTTCAGCCTCCATGAGCTTCTGATCGCTCACATTTAAGAAATGCTTTAGCTCCTCCAACTCTATTTTGGCTTCTTCTAGTTCTAATTGTAGACTCTGATTCGCCTTCTCCAATGCAAGGCATTTTTGTTCTGCACCACTCAACTTGAAGGCTGCCATCTCCATTTCCTCATTGAGCTTCACAATTTCGTTCTTCAATTTAGAGATTTGAGTCTCCAAATTAGATATACTATCATGAGAAAACTGGTGCTGCAGAAGCGCAGCCTCCTTCTCAGATTCTAATTTGGACATCTCATCTCTCAAGTTCTGAACTTCACCTCTGGATAAATCCAAATGCTTAGATTCTAACTCAATCTGGACCTTAAGCTTCTGGTTTTCATTTGATAACTGAGAAATTTGTTCTTGAAGATGTTTTACCCCATATCTGACATTCTCTTTCTGCTTGGAATCCACATATATTTTGGCATAGTGACCATTTTCTTCTTCCTCCTCAAAGTTTAGACTTTTCATAACCTTCCCTTGGGGTAATCTCACACGAGCCACCACTTCTTCCTCATCTTCATTAAAACCTTTCGTGTCATCTCCTTCGAATAATTTCACACGTGCTAACCCCTCTCGATTGTTTTCTTCGGGCAGTGCAATCCTATCAATAAAAGGTGTCTGCATGCCAAATGCACCCTTCTGCAGGTCATAAGTATCGAACACCGAGCGCCTCGGTGAAGGCATTTCCGGAGCATTATTGGAGAGAGATTCGTCGGGAAGTGCGAGCGGAATGTGATTGGGAAATGCTTCCGACATCGTTCGATGAGCATGGCGGAGAGCCCCGGTTGCCTGGTCGTATCTTTCGGCCAAAGCTCGGTAAGCTCGATAAAACTCTTCCACCAGTTTCATGAGCTCAGGTCGTTTCTTGTAGTACATTTCAGCTCTCCTTGCGAATGAGTCAGCGTCTTCTTCTATTAGCTTGATCATTGCTTTAACTTTCATGTCCATATCTGCTCATGAAAATCAACACATTAGACCTTATGTCAATTATAATAAATCAACGCCCACAAACGATTACTAAGTACTTTGATTTAGAAGGGATAAAAAAGTGCCATTTCAAATATAGAGTTAGATTAGAGAGGCTGAAGCAGAATAAATGGTTTGGAAGCCTTCATTACCTATAGGTTTAAATTAATAAAAAAAAAGATAGATTTTTTTTGTGATACAAGAGCAAATCAAATATGAAATCCAATTATTTTCTTTTTAGTGAACATGAAAATGGGTGGTCCAACATTAAATTTTCAATTTCACCAACCCTCTTGAGGTACCCATGTTTCATAGCTTGAAGGGAAACGTATGAAAAATAAAAAAAACAATAATAAAAAATCATACAGACAGAAATGCTACAAGAATAAATTTGTAATACCTAATAACTCATTAAAGCCCTTAATTTCATGAATATTAGCAAATAATATGCCCCTCACAGTTAAATTCTCACCTAAAACAATAATTCCGGAAGTGTTCTAGTAAGTTTATCTTCTGCCGACTGAAAATTTATTTGCATGTCCACGTAAAGATTAGCAAATAGATCATTCTCCTCAGGGAATTAGTGTTCAAGGATGTAAGGTAGATGGAGACGATCATGATTTAAACTCAAAATTGTTCCCGGATTATTCATACGTGGTCAATTTAGTTTTAAAATATCACATTTTTCCAATTTATTTCCTTCGTTATATAAAATTGGTCCAGAAAGGTCGCAAATGAACTAAATTGGGATCAATTTTGTATAATCAAGGAACTAAATTGAAATTAAATTTATATCACATGGGGAGCTATTCTGGATTAGTGATATATAGCCAAGAAACTAAATTGAAAGAGATGTGACATGCTTTAGCCAATTTGGCCATATACAAATAGTTAGCAGATCACTAAGAAAATAACGGCCAAAAGATTATTTTGTTTTAACTTTCAAGATATATAGATAGACAGGTATTTTTGCAACCATATTGACAACTATAAACAAAATAACGATCTACGAAGCTCAATAAAAAAATAATATGCAGACACAAGAATCGCCAACGAACAATAAAATAACATTGAATCAATAAATAGCGAGATAATGCAAGAACAATTTTACGAAAGAAGACCCTCATATGAAAATAAGAATTAGATATTACAATAGAATAAGTGAAGCTTTGTCGCAATGCTTTTTATTCAGCTTCTTAAGAAATTTTTAAGAACTTCCCTAAGTTTGCTTACCCAATGTAAATGGATGATGCTTTTAAGTTCCATGAGTAAATCCCCTAATTTTGGTTTTTCTATAAACAATGATAGTTAGAACTCATAATCATTAGTCCTATCCCAACAGAAAACAATTAGAACAAATTGCTTGGCTATTATTTAATCATCTCCATAATTATCTTTATCAACCCTTGTCTATGTATCCCTCTCCAACTATGGGCACCATGCGTTAGATCCCAAGCAATGTAAGCTGATGCAAGCATTCCAATGCGATCGCATACAAGGGAACTCACGGTCAGTATCTTGTTTTTCCATTTAGTATTTTTTTTAAGGGCTTTCATCTACTAACGTCAAATTTTCTGTTTATAAAATATAAAAATTGTATTTTGACCCTTTACCTTCAATTCAATATTAGAGAACATGTCTTCTTTAAGTTCCTAGGAACCAAGAAAATCAAATTTTTCCCTGCCAGGATCCATTCGAGATGTCTAATTTCACACAAGATTTATCAGATTCCCTCTCCTCCGCTAAATTGCAAAGAAGACAATGATAGAACCAAGGAAATACTGAATAAACACCAGATATGTTAGGTGTTCTCTTCACGTACAAATAGATGATGCAACCTTGGAAGCAACAATGAACACTTTATACCTACTGGAGTTGTTGAACCAACATTATCATTAAATTAAATATATTTTGCATATTGTGCTGTCAGCAGTAAGCACAATAAATTACTCAAAAAAAAAAACCTTAAACAAGGATAACTTCTAACATGGATAACCAATACTGCAAATAACCATTTCGGTAGTGATTGACTTTCTTCACAGTTCATGCAGTAAATCCAAATCTCTATTTTGATTTAAAAAAGAAGGCAAAGCCACTGGTAATCACCTGACAATACAAGCAAAAAGTTTTGAGTAAAACATAACTCCCATGTCAGAAAAAAGGGAGCTTTCTCCATTGATTTCAGTCCATAATTAGAAGCGATGCAAACAGTTTTACTAAACTATAAATAGAAAGTATTCTTATGTATTTACATATCTAACACCCAAACTTTGATATTTACATGCATAGAACTCCAATCATTAACATCACATCAGAAATACCACTATCACCTACTTAAAAAAAGTAAAATACACCTTTCCACACATAGGTTTATCACACCAAAGTGTTTGTAGGTGTTAGAAATGTAAATACATAGAAATTGTGGCAGAAAATGCAGTTCTTAACAAGATAACATAGTAAAATAGCTCATAAGGGCAAACCAAGTAGCTATAATAAGCTATATGACAACCATGAAGAATCACAAAACATCATCCCAGTATAAGAGAGATCGTGCAAGAAGTAGCAAAAGTCTATACCTGTCAGGTTTTCCTGAAGCCATTTCGAATTCTTTGGACTGATATGACTGTCCCACCACCACGAGTACAATCTCCTTGATTCGGCACGAGGATAAGTCGTCATGATTCAAACTAAAAAAGAATTCTAACTCTTCTCCTGATACAAAAATGGCCTTCACCACGGCCAAAACTAGGTAGAAATCCCTTCACCTTCACCAAAAATACTGTATCATCACAAAAATCCAAATATAATTATTTCTTACATGAAAGAAAGCCAAACAAGTAGAAAATCAAAAAATTCAACATAAACAAAGTTTACAAAGTACCTCAACAATAAATTACAAAACGCAAATATAGAATTACCCTCAATCCTCACTTGGTGATGATGGAAAAAACAATTCTTTAATCCAACCTTCAAATAACAGAAAGCAACATCATGAGAATGTTTGAATGTTTTAGATCATTTTCATCCACCTGGGATTAAAAATATTCAAACCAACAGACAGAAGCAACAATTTAATACTAGAAAAATAAGACAGCTTACCAGAAAAAAAGCAGTAAGCGATGGTAGGTTGAAGATTTACTTTTTGGTTTTGGATGGTTAACTGCTCAGAGGATGTGAAGAACTGAAACTCTGATCAACAGCAGAAATAGAGGATTAAAATAAGAAACAAATTTCAAAAACAAGAACCAGAACCAATAAGCCGTAGAATCCTTTACTTGGGATAAAAAATTGAAAATATTATTAACCAAATATGAGAGAAACTGTAACTGATCAAAGGCAAACAGACCTGAAGAAAAGAGAGAATAGATATAAAGCCCTAATAGTCCGGATAAACTAGCAAGACGAAGATAGTGAGAAATTATAACTTAAGCAGAAAAAGAGAAGAGTTAAAATTAAAAACTGATTTTCGGTTAAATATAGCTCCCCATATCAACTAAATTTAATTTCTACAAAACCCATAATCTACCAAACTTCAAGAATAGCCTGTTATCATGAAACTCAGCACTTCATTTCCATTGGAACAACCACAAAATCCAAAATTTTCAAAAAAAATTTAATCAGAGACGCAGTTAGACATCCTTTCTGTTTAAAATCGACTCTGAAGGAGTAAATCTCATTAAAAAACAGACGTTAGATGAACGCAGAACCTAAAATCAAAACTTTACAAGCCTTAATGCGCGAAACAAACCTTCTTTTCCGAAAGTAAAAAGGAATTACCAGAGAGAAAATTTATAGTCCACCGGCTCCTGACAAGCAGCAGCTAAACGGATGATCGCCAGCTGCTTCCCTCTTACACCATTAACCCATTTCCGTAGCGTAGAAAAACCTCCTCTCGTCCTCCCACTCACTCTCTCTCTACAAATCTCTCTCTATCTCTCTCTCTACAAAGAGAAACCGAAATGAAGACGGCAATCGCACAAGAAAAAGAAGCACGATCGGAAAGTGATCAGAATGTTGAAAATAGTTGGGATTATAATAATCTTACTGTTTCTTTGTTTGAAAAAGCAATAAAGGAGGAAAAAACGTTTTTTTTTCTTTCTTTTTTTCACAGTAAGCTAACATTTCAGGCGATTTCTCTTTAGTAAAGTATGGCTGCTTCCTATTTTGACTAGTTTACTATTATATTTTCTTAAATGTTGAGAAAAATGGGAGCATTTACTTACATTCTATATAATTCTTTTATATTTACATATCTAAAATCTAAACTTTCATTGTTATATAGTTTCTTTTTTAGAAATGAAATGCATCTAATTTATAGAGTCAAAACACCAAATTAATAAATATAAATATAAATCATTATGTATTAGAAATGTAAATACATAAAAAATTTGTGATATGTATGTAAAGTTCCCAAAAAATTTATAAATGTCTTTGAATCTACTTGAATAAATTTCTCATAACATGCTCAAAGTTTAATCAATAAAAATTGTTCAAATGCTAATCAAAATTTGTTTAAGAGATGTCATCAAGATCACGTTTTATTCTTAGTATTTTGATGTGTTATCTTGGATCAAATACATAACAAAATCTTTTTTTTTTCCTTCTTTTTGCTTTTGATGTGTAGTGTAAAATTATTGTAATTCAGTATTATGTATTGTGTTTGACAGGATTTTGAAGCCTGCATTGTATGTGATGGTGATTTTGTTCGAAAGGTGGGATCCTAGCTTATGGGTTCAGTTAAACGTGGTGTTTAAACAAAAGCCCCTGACTTAGTATCAAGAAATGATTCCAATCAACCAGCTGAGTTGATGAGATAATTCAACCAAGTCAATAATCTCAAACAATTCGACCAGAGAACCCGACAAAATAATTCAACCTCAACTAGTTGGCCAGGACAACTCAACTAATAAAACTAGAAGAACAACTCAAACTGTTATGAATTATAATAGAAAATAATTTATTCATGTATGAAGTTATGGTAAATAATTTTTTTCCTTAGAATTAAGGAGATATTTTCTTTTTGATTTTATATTTATTTCCTTGAATTATGAATTATTTAATTTTTCTATTTTATGTTATTTCATATATCTCCTAACAATTAATATGAATTGATTATTGGAGATATTAGGTGATATATATTTCTTTTCATATCATTTATTTCTTTTCATATCATTTTTTTCATATCATTTCTTTTTTATTATTTTTACTATTATAGGATTCTTATAAGAGTTATTTATATATTTGCTCATATCAATGAAACCATGAAGTATTCCAGTTTAATCTGCATTATTCTGAATTTCAACATGGTATCAGAGCAAACATGATTCTGAGTCTTACCATCTCCTCTTCACGTTGACACCCCCATCTATCTTCTTTCTAAGCCAAAACACATGGCAAACAAAACTTAAAATTCAGTCAAGCCTGAATCTAGCAAATTTGATGATCCGAACGACATTTTTTATCTTGACTACTCAGATCAACCCGGTCTCGTGCTCGTTACGCATCCGTTGAATGAATAAAACTACAATACTTGGAGTCGTGCCATGTTGATGGCTCTCAGCATCAAAAACAAAGAAGGTTTTGTCAACGACACCATCAAAGAACCACGAGAGACGTCCACGGCAGAACTTCAATAATGGAGGTGCTGCAACAACCTTGTCAAGGCATGGTAGTTTAATTCAATTGCATAAGACATTGAAGCAAGTATAATATACAATGAGAGTGCCCATGAATTCTGGCTTTACTTGAAGGAACATTTTTCTGGTGCCAACAGCGTTCATATTTTCCATGTCAAAGAAGCCATCCACGATTGCAAGCAAGGAGATATGATAGTTGGAGCTTATTACATCAAGCTCAAAGGGCTACTGAATGAACATGACACCCTCTATAACATTCCTAAATGCATGTGTGGTGTCATGAATGAAGTGATACAGTTTCAGCAAAATCAGAAAACCATGAAATTCCTCATGGGCTTAATGAAACATCCACTGGTATAAGAGGGCAAAGTTTGCTCATGGATCCCCTTCCCAGTGTCAGCAAGACACATTCTCTCAAGCTACAAGAGGAAAAGCAACGCGAGATGAACAATGTAAGTGCACCGCAACCGGAAGCTTCGATTTTTGCCGTAAAGAATAATGCACGGAAACCAGAGAAGGTTTTCACACCTAAAAATCCTCATTTAAAGTGTGGAAAATGTGACAAAATTGAGCATACCTAAGACACATGTCGAGCACATCTCAAATGCAATTATTTTGGATTGCAACGACACATCATCAATGGTTGTAGGAAGCTGCAAAGGGCCAATCCAACGCACAATAAGCCTAAACGGAAATTTTTTGCTCCCAAAGCCAACCATATAGATACCAATACATCGACAAGTCCTACATCATTCACCCTTACAGCCGAACAAATATTAAAGTCTCATATCACTACTTGCAGAGAACAAATCTAATTTGATGGTTAATCATGTTGGCAGTACATAAGTCATGAGTGATATCTCAGGTGAAATCTCCTGTATCTCTGTTTTTGACAAAGAAATGTGTTGGATTCTTGACACAGGAGCCACGAATCACATTGTACATTCAACCAACCTACTTACTACAAAATCCAGTGTCACCAATCAAAGTGTTCACTTGCCTAACGGGACTATTGTAACTGTCGCGCACATAGGCAACTTCTATTTTGCTGACTTCGTTCTACAAAATGTTTTATGTGTCCCTTCCTTCAACTTCCTTCAAATTAACAAATTAAATTTGATTTCCATTAGCAAATTTGTGTTTGATTCACAATGTCTTGTCATTTTTAATAATCACAGTTGTGTGCTATGACCGCGACTTTATATATGCTTAAAAATAAAAGTATTTAATACTGCTGCTAAAATATTTAATCCCTCAGCAACTGTACCAAAACTTAATAACAGTTATAGATTTGATAAATATGGACGTAATAAATATTCAATAATTGTAAAGTCACACTTATCAACGCAATTATACGTATTGCTCAAGTAATATAGGGCTCTAATGGAGTCCTAGATATCGATCCTACAGGGAGTAATATTAGAACTAAGAACTAAGACTTTAGAAAAGCAATACTTTAATTGCAACAACAAAGTTCAATTTGCTTATCTGTCACTAATAGACAATTGAAATAAATATGTAATTTTAATAACTATTAAATAACTAAATATACTAATGAAGGTTCAAATGTGATATTCAATATATAGAAAGCATCCTTCTCCTTGCCAAGAAATTATAGAGAATGGATAAAGTGAATTAGTTCAAATTATATTGTGTCAAATAGGAGCATACATATTCTTTACTCTTTGGTCCAGGAATAACGAACATTGACTAATCATACGCTTGTTTACTGAATCTGCGGTTATGATGGGAGGATATCAGCTCTCACTTTGGAGCTCCCACGTTCCCCTCGCCTGAGGGCTAACATCTACACTTCAGCACCCAAACGATAGGACCGAATTGGGAATTTTAGTCTGTC